GTGCGCGGAAGACTGACACAGCTCGCTGCTTCCGATGCCTGACGCAACATCATCCACGGAGCATGTCGATGCAGAGACGATGTTGAAGAGCTAGGCAAGGCTGCTAATCTCAGCCCAACACTGTCAGGGGGCGTGCTAAGGTGGTGCCAATCCGGAGCGTCGGCAGCCAATGACTGGATGGGAGACTGCATCATGCCCATCATTCTTGAGCTTGAAACCGGCGTCATAGTGCTCGCTGTTGCCTGCCTTGGGGAGATGGCGTTGGGATGCAGTCGGTGCAGTGGAGAGGCTGTCGCTTCGTCCACAAGAGGGAGATGCCGTTGGTGCGAGGTGGGCGCTCTGACAATTATGCCGTTTGGCAGGTGTGCATTTGCAGGAGACGACACCACATTGGCCCATACTTGAGGTTCGAAGCAAGTCTCGGAGTGTTGCAACGAGGCTCTTCGACTGTTATGTCCGTAGTGCTCGACAGCGACGAGCGCTTGAGAGTTGGTGACGGCGGCGGATGTCCTGCTAGAGTTGCTTGCTTGTCTACTTGCAGTCATGAATAGCCTAGGACTGGCAGCGTAGATGGATGAGACGACTGATGGAGCTCGAGCCTCGCCGCGAGACAGGCGGTGCACGGACATGGCGCCGACCGGAAGGCGCTCATCTGCGAGCAGCCACGAGTCCGGAATGGAAGATGCAGTGTGAATTTGTTGCAGAGTGTGCTGCTGCGGAGAGAAAGAATATCGGCTAGAATCCGAAAAGGATCGTGGTGATTTGAGACTGCTTTGGTCTAGACTCGAGCCGCGCAAAGGCGCAAAGGTGCTGCTCTTCGACAAAGCGCGAGGTCTCTGAAGGGTGAATGGCTTTAGAAAGGAGTTGCGAGGCGCTCGGGCTCGATTTGTATGCCAGTGCGAGGCCTCAGAGGCGCATTGCACTGAGCTCACTGAGAAAGATGCACGTCTGAACTCTGAACGAAGGCGACGATGAGCGATCCACAAGCGCGCGAGCATGGCCGCGAGAGCCAGTATAAGGAGCAAGCTGACCACCAACCCGGCTACGCCACCGCTGGACAGCCCGTGTGGATGACTGTAAGCGCGAGGCGGATGCGTCTCTCCGCTGGTGGGATCGTGCCAGGTCTTTGGTGAGCTCGAGGATGAGCTCCACCCTGACGCTGCCGCATTCGCGCCATTGGCGCCATAAATGGGAGCCATCACACCACTCAAAGCCGGTGTCTTCCGGTCCAGGGATGCTTAACGGAGCTGTGCGCCGAGCGAGATGCGCCAAGAACCTGCGTTGGATAAGCCTGGGCGAGGAGAGGCGAGAAGGAGAAGATGGTCGATTGATGTCGCGATGGTGTGATGCTGATGACGATGTCTCTTTTGAGATGTTGTGAGATTGTAGTGAGGTCAAGTGAAGCCATGCGTGGCATGGATGTGGTGAACGCTCTTAAGGCTCGAACGATTCACAGAGGAAGAATGCCGGTACGATGAACTTGCTCTGATCTACGATAGCAAGCGGCAGTGTAGAGCGAGACAAAGGCAGGCAGGCAGACAGCCTCCTTGCTGCTGCCGTTACCCCTCGCCGGTGAGCGGCAGCCACTCGTAACGGTCATGACATTCACGATTGCCTTAGCAATCACGAACCTGGGTCGAGTTGCGGTGGGAGTGACACCATGGCCGCCAAGTCGCCGCAGAGAAGTCGTGCTTGCGGTACCTGCATGCTTCTCCATAGCGTGCCTGATTGCCGCTTTCGTGATTGAACTACCGATGATGCTATATGAGACCGTCAGGATGCCCACAGCGAGAGGGCATCGGCGATCGAGCCTCG